TCTGGCGCACAGACCTTCTATGTCCCTCTCCTCGTCTCTGCTTCTCTCACGCTGACGTGCAATGAACTTGAGGTCGAAATCATCATCCGTTATTGTGGTGCTAGGAGACCCACTCCTGTGGACAGACGGCACACCAGCTCGAAACAGTACAGCAGCCTTCACAGCTACGGATACGGCACGATCCAGCTTGAAGATCGAAAAACTCATGACTATATCGCGGCTACGAAGAGATGATACGATGTCTTGATTTATAGAAACCAATTTTTCAATCTGCTCCGCGGCTTTGGTGGTCTTTGTTGTCTGCTCCATTTCGCATTGCATAACCATCTCCGCAAAAGCCATTTGCTGCAGTGTCACTCCAAGGTTGACGCCGTCCCTCCTTATCTGAAAAACCTTCGTGAGTGCCGTCTTGAAGGCAGGGGCGCCCCAAGGATCATCGCCGCTCCGTCTCCACGTTTTATTTTGTTTCAACTCTGCTCGCATCTTGTTGCGAGTGGGGAGCTGGTGATCTATTTGCTGCGACCGCACAAGCGGGATCCCTTTTTCAGCCCAAAACCAATGTTTTAATTGCCATGTTATTTCCCCACGCACGATCGTCATCATTCTGTTGCACTCCCCTATGATTGCTCGAATCCCGCAGGACGCTACGTGTGAGCGCAGTCCTTCCTCCGCAATCTCCCCCACCAGTTTGGCCGTGGTTTGCAGCGATGTGAAAAATGCATCCTCTGTAGGGTACAGAGTTGCGTCCTTTGCTGCGGAGAACGCAAAGGCTTTCGCGACCGAGCGGAACAGTCTGCCCCTCATTCTCTTTGTGAATGCACCAGACTCTTCATTCACTTGATATTGTCCTCCAGTATTCGCGCACACTTTTGCTTGCGAGTTCGTGTCATCTGATGGGAGACAGACATCACAATGCACATAACAATATTTCAGAACTCGGCAGTCCGGATACATTTTAGCACTAGCGACATTCGGCAGTCCATTTCAACCGCATGTTAATCAAAGTCAAATCCTTGCTTCAGCGATGTGCCTAAACTTTGCGAGTTCGAATGTAATCGTTTGGCAAGGGCAGCAACTGCAGCGCACTTTGTTTACCTTTTCCAGCAGTATTAGCATGCCTCACTATTTGTCTGCCAATGGAAGGCGTGTCGGCAGCGCTGCCCTCGTGCGTTGTGTTCCTCCCGGGAACCCTCGTGCGTTGTGTTTCTCCCGGGGACGGGGACCTCGCTCTTCTAGATGCGCTTCTGTCGTCTTCGACTTACCCATCGTCACTCTCTTCGTGCGCGGTGCCGTCGTCACTCCCGCCGCCGTCGTCGTCAGCCTCGTCAGTGTCGCGAGGATGTCCGTGGGAGGTCTCACTGTCGTCGACCTTGTCCCTTGATGCGTTGTCATCCTCCCTGTCGGACTTTTCCGATGAGGGGTCGTCGTGTTCCTCCTCTGCTTCCTCTCGGGCTCCGCTGTGCATATCGTCCGACCCTCTCAGATCGATCATGTCCACCATTGTGTCCTTTTTGTAGGAGATTCTCTTCTTTGTCCTGCGGTGCACCTTTGTGATTTCATCTTCCCACGACCTCTTCTCGGGGGCCCTGGGCAGACGGTTCTCGGCACCGCTGGCACGGCTCCGTGGGGCGGGAGTCGAAGGGGGGGACTCATTGCATTCTTTCAACTTTGAAAGAACGCGCTGACTTGATGGGACGGAAACTTTTGATCCGTGCTTTCGCCTGCTGGTGCGTTCCGTTTTCGCATTCTCAGATCCGCTTCTGTGATGCTCTCTCGAATCTTTTTTCTTTTCGGCTTTGGATTTCTTCCTCTCCTTGTCCTTCTTTCCCACTGCCTTCAAAGACCTGCACAGATCCTCATATTTTAGTCTTGGAGCCATTGCCCTGTTTTCCCCACATACATGAAAGTGGAAAAAGAACAACAACTGCGTCAACAATGTTGTGTGTCGATCCATGCCTCTCTAAAGTGTCGGGGAGCCGCATTGGGAGGGAGGGAGAGAGAGAGAGAGAGAGGCGCAACCAAGATCTTATTTCTAAAATTGCGACGTCATGCAAGTTACCAACCTCTTTCAACATCAAAATGATTGTATCTGTTTTGTCAGGCGGTTTGGGTTCGCGTACTCAAGGAAAAAAATATATATATACTTCAAGCAAAAAAAACTAATTGGGAAATGCCCCCGTCCATCACCGGGAGAAGGTTGGCTACTGCAGGCCAATCACCTGGTCAAGCGACCGGTCTTTATGTAACAAATGCCTGCAGTAGTGAACTTTCCTCGCATTGTCGTCTCACGGCCTCGACGACAATTCAAAGCTTTCGATGTGTTGCTTTGTCTTCTCTCACCTGTCATCCTTGCTCGCTTTCTCTTACTTGCACCCTGTTATTCTGTATTCTGTGTTACCCCGTCCCCCTTGTTGTGCGACGTCGTAAGTTTCTGTTCCTGTTCACACGTGTTGGTCAACAAGGAATGACAATTACGAATTGCTAAGTTTTTTAGCAAGAAATCGAATCGTTTTTACAGGATAGTTTGGAGAGAAAAGAGAGAGAGAGAGAGAGAGAGAGAGAGAGATGGAGAGAGAGAGAGAGAGAGAGAGAGAGGCTGGCTACTGCGTGCGAAAAGTGAAAGGAATGTCATTGTTGACCACGTAAATGTCACGCAGTAGTGAACTTTTGGGGACACAGTTGTTTCGCATGTGGTTTTTACCACTTCATAAACTCGGCCACGTTTAACATGATATTTCTCTAAAAATGACAGAAAGAAAGAGACAAATGTCCTCTCTTGTTCCCCTGAATTTCTTATGAAACAACATGGCTGTCCCGTGATGATTCCAGCTAGACAGACTTACAGAATTCGTCAGACTTCTGATGAAAGCCGATACGATCTCTCTCTCTCTCTCTCTCTCTCTCTCTCTCTCTCTCTCTCTCTCTCTCTCTCTCTCTCTCTCTCTCTCTCTCTCT